GTATATTGTTGTGAATTAATTTCCACAGAAGAATTCCTTTTTTCTTGCATCTTTAAAATCTGCTCTAGGAATAAACTGAACTACTATCTGAAATATATGGGGAGAGCATGGGTGGGAAGGAGGGGAGCTGGTAAAATCCTGCTATTTAGATAATCCTGTATTTAGACATTGATCACATAACAATGGATTATCACAGAGTTCAGTAAGATAATGTGATTTTTAGAAAACCACAGCATGTTATGTTGTTGTTGTCAAAAGTTTAAAAAGGTTAAAAGTTTTCAGTTAAAAAAGAGACAAAATAGACAGAGATAGAAAACCAAAATCAGCCGCCTGCTTCAGGGCTACTATTAAACAATGAAACACTGGCAAATTGGAGATTGCCCAATTCATCTAAAGATGCTTTAATGAATTCTTAAGCACTACTGCAATAATTTTATAAATGCAATAACTGAAATATCCTCATATACAAAAGATGAGATCAATCTCTCTCTTTCCCTTCCTTTACTGTATTCTAATAGCCAGTTCTCATTACACACGAGAGGTATATTTTTCAAAGTGCAACTATAAATCTGCAAAAACATGACTATAATCAATCAAGGATATAAGAACTCATAGACTTTATGTGGCCCATGTCTTCAAGACTGCACAGTTCCTTCCTTGTGTCTACTCATACAATGCTTCTAAGTAAAGTGTTTTCAATTTAACAGAGTTTTTTCTGCCCAATATATGAAGACTTAAATTAAATAAATATTGAGATTCAGACTTCTCCAACCTTTTATAGAGTGAGAAGGAGACTAAGGCAAGCACCCAGGGATTTAAACTACTAATGAATATGAAGCAAATAATGGACAAACCACAGCTACAACCAAAATAAATTCAAAGCCGTTTAACCTAAGGAAACATTCCTAACCTAATTAGGAATACATTTTTCCCTAAGGATGTTCTCTAGTGTTCCTAACATTTCTAGAATCTGTTTGGACTTAGGCAGAGATACTTACATATATAAATACTTAATTTTGTAAAGCCATGATTCAAAATTTGGCAGCTCTGTCATTTCCAGCGGATTTGGAAAACATAAATTTTAAGAATTGGCTTTAATAGCAGTGGAAATTTCTAAAATATATTCCATTTGCTACTAAAACCAGTTCTTAAAGTAAGCCGCATTAGCAAGGAAATTGCAAAAAGGAAGAGAAAAGAAATTGTGCAATAACAACTAAAAAGTCTTCAAAGCCTCAGTTCTTGCTAATGCTTACATCATTACTGAATTAGACAGACAGCAGTGGGTTCTTTGCAAACTTAATTTGACACATAAAAGCAATGTTGAATTTTCAGTATGATTAATAATTTAATACCATCTTTTTTCCTTTCCTTTGTATGTAGTGGGGAGCCTTAAATATAGAATAAGAGTAATGCATCTGTTTTTAGTCTGGAGAAAAATTCCCATAATTTCAAGCAAACAACCACTTTATTTGAGTGCTTTGTGTAGCGCTGTAGTACTTTCAGCAAAAGCCTGAATAATAATATGTGAGAGCACTTGCTACCCAAAGATCTCAAATAAACTATCATTGCATGATTGTCCTTTAAGATTTCTTTCATGATCTAGGATCAATGGGTACCAAAGGAAATCTTTTCAAATTAAACTTGTTCATCTCTCACCTTTTGTGCGTCTCTGCCAGAGATTTTTCTTCCATCTCATGGTCAGTTTTAGCTAAGTAACAAACAGAAAATAAAGTTATAGATAAATAAAGTTATAAATAAATTGTTGCAGTGATGTTATTAAATAAGCTCTCATTGCACATACTCTGGGGGAGAAAACTAATGTCTCGGGATTATTTACATGCTTCTTGAATAAATGAGCTTGGCCTTCATGTTAAAATCATGAAATGTAGAGTTAGTACATCCAGAAAAAGTTTAAGACTTGAGTTTGACACCCCTGCTGTATTTGATACCTTTTGATGATGAGTTATAATACAAGATGAATTCTCCCTTTTGGCAAATTATACTAATCAAAAGTTACTGTGAAACTCTGATTTACCTGTAATTACACAAGCACTTATATAGTCATTTTAACAAAAGCTGAATAGAAGCTAGACTTAACAAATCTTGGTGAATTTTTTTTTGGATATGTTGACTGCAGTTAGTGAGAACTTGCCAAACATTTGGTCCAAGAGACTTGAAGAAATAGTTAAACTAAATAGGACAATAGAATATCAGAACCATTAAAGTTTCTATTATGTCTACCATTAAAAGTTAATTAAGTTGAACTAAATTAGGTGTTAATTTAACTTAATGCTGAAGCAGTCTATATCATATCAACAAGAAGTTTCACATAGGTTTTCTTCGTCATTCTCCTTCAGTGATTTTTTGTTGTTTTTGTTTTTGTTATGATTGTGTAATGATCTCTGAAAGCTGTTTCAGAGCATCCTGGTGTATGAATGTACCACTTGTCTGTAACAGTTTAAAGTGACCACTCTGTTATTAATGCTACATAGAGTTTTCTTTTTCTCAAATCCCAATCATCATCTCAACACCCCATCATTAGACAAAATGCTTAGGAGAAATTGAAAAATGACTACAACCACTTTTAAAAACCATGTTTTTAAAATAGAAACTTGACCACTTTTTTTGTTAAGAACCATTGACAAAGGATAGAGAAAGATAAAGCTTTGTTAATTCATGGAAATGAGATCCAACTTTCAGGTAATCTGGATGTATGATTCCACATATTTTCATCATATTGATTTTACAACCCTTGGAGACACAGAGTTTGATGACAGGGCACCCAATTTTCCCATTAAGTTATCCACAATAAGAGTCAATGTTAAACTCAATTAAGTTAAGGCTCACAAACATGCTTCTTGGGGTTGGACAGCAGGAGAAACATAACATTAGCTTCACAACCATTTCATTTTGTTCCAAGCCTGCAATTTAACATTAAGCCAAATTGGGCCTGGAGCCAAATAAATTTGAACTGGGTAAAGCATTACATAATTATCCTTTGAGCAGAGGTATACTTTTTTTAAAAAAAATTAGGCTTAATTACAGCTATTCCTTAACTACAGATACTAAACGTTATCATAAAAGCAGTGCATCTCCTTGGCATCCACTACAGTTGTTGAAATACTGTTTAAGATTTTCCTAGTATAGGAAGGTATGTTAGTGAATGTTACTGCAGTGTACAATTAAGATATAAGTGAACCCCTAGAATGAAGGCAAATATACATGTTGCAGGATAATGTTACAGGATCCAATCTGGGCCAGTGTACAGGACTAGAGGTTTAGTCTTTTGAGCACCAAATATCTAGAGTTCATTGCCAAGCTTATTCATTTCTGAAGGAGCCACTTGAAATGGCAGCGTTTTTTTTTCATTCTTGCTTATTCCATGGACATGTAATCTTGTGTAAAAGTGATTTATACAAACTTTAGACATTTTAGTTTTAAATCATGAAATGTGGAATGTTGTTCAATTAGTTTTCTGAAACTATTAAAACGTTATACCATAAAAATATGGATTGTTGTTCAATTAGTTTCTTGAAACTGTTAAAACATTATACCATAAAAAGGAGATCAAGCAAAAGAGATGAAGATTCCTGCACTATAGGCAGGATATTGGACTAGAAGACTTCCAATGTCTCTTTCAACCCTATGATTCAAAGATGTGTCTCCGTTTCCCCCCTCCTCCCCTTAGGGCAGTTCATAAAAACATTTCTTTTCCAAAATAAGCCTCTTGGAGATGAGAAGGGCAAGAATATGAGAACAATATGTGCATGACTGCATTCCCACTCATGCTAGTAATACTATTGCTAAATTTGCAGATGATACAACAGTGGTGGGACTCATCTCCGGGGGGCGGGGGGGGGATGAGTCTGCCTACCGAGATGAGGTGGACTGGTTGCTTTCATGATGTGGAGACAATAACTTGTTCCTCAACACCAAGAAGACCGAAGAGCTTATAGTGGAACGGATCAGACGTCCAGCCCTTGCTTATCAATGGAGGAACAGATCCGACATCCAGCTCTTGCTTATCAATGGAGACTGAGTGGAGAAAGTGGCCAGTTTTAAGTTTCTTGGTGTTACCATAAAAGAGGAACTGGCCTGGGGTGCTCACATTGCAGCACTGGTCAAAAGGGCCCAGCAAAGATTATACTACCTGAGACTTCTTAGAAAACAACAACTGAATGAAAAACTTCTACTACTGCACCATAGAGAGTATTTTAACTTACTGCACCTCTGTATGATTTGCCAATTGCACAGTGGCAGATAGGACAGCACTCCAGAGGGTTAACATCATTGACCAGAAAATCATTGGTTGCCCTCTCCCCTCTTTGGAAGAGCTTTATAGCTCCCGCTGCCTTAAGAAAGTTCAAAACATTCTCAAAGATCCATCTCATCCTGGGAACCCTTTTTAAAAAACTATTACCATCTGGCAGACAGTACAGAATAATAAAAACATGGACAAATAGGCTGAAAAACAGCTTCTATCCCAGGGCAGTAGCTCTTTTGAATTCTGCTGTATAGTGCAGTATAGGTGAGGTTTCGGGGTTTTTTGGTTCAATGTGTGGAGGGTGAAGGATGTGTGTTTGTATTTATTTTCATGGTCATGATGTGCACTGAAGATGGTGTTTGTATGAGGTGCAATGACAATAAAGTAAACTAAACTAAATTAAACAATAACCAGCACTGTGACTCTCTTTATGATTGTGTGGGACATAGAATAAAAATAGAAGTAGAAACAGAGAACATGGGAATACTTTTCCACTGTAGATAAAAACTGTACAAGTAATAACAAGTCCAGAAGCTTAACAGAACAATGAGAAAACATGAGCCAATGTAGATGAGTGATTGCTATCAACAGTCCTATGCCACATGTCTTACTCTTGAAAGAGGTGGGAAGATGACACAAAACTATGTACAGAAATAACTAGAGAAAAAGGAGCTAATAATTTCTGACTCTCAGTGCCACATTCATACTGCTTAGTTACTGGATCTTAACTCTTAAT